ATTTGAATTTTTATTTTTCCAGCTTTTAATAACTTCCTATTTTCTATTTTTTTTCTCAATTTTTACACTTTTTAATTTATTTATTTATTATATTTACTATTTTGTTAGTTTTAATCGACTTTTACTGTTTTTTTATTTTTATTATAAACTTTTAAATTTATTTTTATGTTTTGAAATTTTTGAATTTTATTTATTTTATTTATTTTATTTATTTTTTCCTGAATTTATATCAAATTTTAGAATTTATATTGATTTTTTATCTAATTTTATTTGTTTTTTTTAGGTAAACCGCCACGTCTTACCTGCTAGTGAACAGTAACAGGTCACAATTTTGACGTGTGCAACAAGTAAGTTAGTTCGATGTTTAATATGTTATTGTTACAAATTTCATTGTTTAAAGTGTTATCAGTTGAGCCTCAAGGTTTAAAGTGCAAACTTTTGCCAAGTTCATGATTTTTTATGCAATTTTCCCTTTAATTTATTTTTACCTAAATTAGGGTCAACGTCCTTAATTCTTGTACAACTATTTTAACAATTCATATTACAAATTATATAATTGTTTAGTTACAGTAAAAAAATTTAAATATAATTATTTAATGTCTCTTAGTTTAACTATACAAATAAGTTACAAAAATTCTTAAAATTAAAGTCGAAAGTGAGTTATTTTCTATTGATTTTAGTTTTATTCTCACAATGTTAATTTTATATATTTTCATTTAAAACCATTGATTTACACGACGTAAAAGAAATAAATTATTCATTATAACTAAAACTACTTTAAGACATATATATATAATATGAAACTGGCATTACTATATATATACATATACTTGTTTGTTCAAAGGTTATATGAATTATTATATATGAAACCAAAGTTAACCATGTTATCAAATAATTGATTAGAAATTTGGAAACAAATAATACTAACGTATAAAATATAATCATTGCAATCATTTTACTACATATAACTAAATTATTTTATATTTATCGTAGTTATTATAAAAAATATTTCTTTTGCTTAATAGATATATATATATATATATATATATACATATTTAAATTATGTAAATTGGATACTATAGTAGTTTAGCATAAATGTAGATGTAGAAGATAAAGACGTTTGTAAGTGGATTTATATTGATAAAAAAAAGTAAACTCTTATTTGAAAAATATTAGGCGTATAAAATTATTATACTTATTAAGATTTTAGATGAAATGCTGTTTTAATCTATTAAAAATAATCCATTCAAAATATTTTATAAGTAAATTTAAAATTATTAATGTGATGTATCATCTATCATTACAAAAATATATTTTTAAAAGCATGAGGCACTAAATTGTCAAAACCAATTGATTATATAAAACAAAATTTTACTTACCCCGATTTTCTAAACCAATTAGTTAATGAATTAATTAACTTTTGTACCAAAGCTTTTTTGTTTTCTAAAAACCTGCAATGATCTGGTTTTCTTAACCAATTGGTTTAGTCAATGAATTAGTTGACGCTTGGACCAGAGCATTTTTTCTGTTGTTTTAACCATCTGTCGTGTGTATAAGTGAGCAATTGTCATCATCTTCCAAACATGATTGTGTTTATAGTCTGTTCAAAAAGTTAACACCAGACGATGTAAATAAAAGCAATACGCCAACAGTTATGCTTAAACAATTTTGATTTGTTAGCTGCAAGATGAGGATACACATATTGGACATAAAATGTAAACAATCAATCTGATCAAAAGAAACATTACTCATAAAACTATATTAAACCAATTCTCTTTTGTTTGCTATAGCTGATGTAATGGTGTCGACATCTGTATGATGCTGCCATGACTTCTGAACAGAGATCACTCGTTCTCCATCTTTGGAATGTCACCCTTACATTCTATTTCAATGATTTAACCATATTCTCAATTTCTCCTACTGTTTCTCTGTCACCTCTTACTATAAACGTTCCTTATGGTCTAAGAATCCGTCCACTTCAGCCATTACCGACACCAAGCTGCATGTAAAGGGTTCTTTTTACACATCAGTTTTGCATTCATAAATATCAAAAAGGCAACAGAGATGCATATATGTTAAAGGACTGTAGATATACATACATACCTCTTCTTCAGTGCAGAGAAAAGATGATCAGCATGAAGGTCCTAAGTTCCAGGGTAAATGCAGAATGATTCACACCTGTCATGGTAGATTCCAAACAAAACCATCATATATAATTGGAAGCGTATATGGTGAGTCAATAGTAACTACATTCATCACCCAGAGTTTAGATCCTTCAATGCAGCAGCAAAACTTAAAGCCGGAAAGAAAGAGATATATCATTTAGTAACGGATATATGGAGCCAATTTTGTACTCGTGAATGATTTTTTCCAGTACTTACCCTCCTTAGACAGCTCTCATATCCATTAGTTTTCTCACATACGACAAATCAATCCCCATACCGTTGAGGTATGACTTTGAAACAATAGTTTTCAAACGTTCATGGTGTTCTGTGAAATCCTCTTGTGCAGTTTTTCCATTTACACTTTCCTTAGAATCTAACTACTGAGAAACAGTATCTACTCTCTCTGGCCACTTTTCAGGCCAGACTGCTCCATGTTTTGATGAATCTTCTGTCACTTTGTGCATACATGCCTCAAGTGGAACAATCCTGCATCGAGCAGAAATCAATCCAATCCCAAAGTAAACTATTCCAGATGATCTATCAAGTTACACTTTATCTAACGTAGAGAGTTATGAAAAGAGTGAGAGAACTTAATGATGTAAGGTGCGGAGAACAAAGCCATGGTTTTTTATAGCAATGGTTGTAAAATTTAGGGTTCGACGTCTGATATATAGCAACTACATGAACCCTTAATCATGTGACATTTTTCGAGCATCGGTATGCTTTGAATGATCCAAGTCTCGCAAGCCCAGATCTAATCGATCTTTCCCAGCGACCATATGCACAGCTTCAATTTTAATACTATAGAAACCTAGCAAGAAAAAATGCTTATGGTGGGATGGGAATCACATGAAGAGTATTCAATCGGTGATTGTTTCTGGTGCTGTGGGGGGATCATGCCCCTATACCCACCCACCTATATCTCTAATCTTTCTTAGACACTTTTCTTCTTTTAATTTTATATGTTGAACTAAAAACATAAAATTAAACTTGAAACGTGAATATTTTTTATTTGATTTATAGAATTTGATAAAATTATTTCAAAAATCAAAAAACGTTTTTTTCATATTTTCACGAAAATCATCAAAATATGATTAAAAACGATTTTAAAATTTTTTTTTTTTTCGAATTTGAAAGTTATAGAATTTAAATATTTGCCCATGGGTTCACCCATCCATTGGGGGAGGTTTTTGTTTAGTTTTGAACACCGGGGAGATTTAATTTAGGAGTTTAGGTTTTGATCAAAAAAAGAATTATGAAATATGGGTATAGGAGATTTTAATCGGTATAGGAGATTGAGTGATGAGGAAGATGGGCATTGGAGGTGATGTCCCGGTGCGGTGAGTACAGTGAAGATGGTGATGAATCTAATGATCACAACCTGAGTCAGTGTGTTTAGGTCGGCGAAAACCGCATGTGACTTTCTCGACAAAGTGATGAAGTGAAAGTACAATTAAGGGGCCAAAATAAAACGTACTAAAAGCCCATCCGAAAAAATTAATAAGTCCAAATACAAAAGATTGTCGAACCAAAAAAAATCGGAGATTTGATGAAGTGACAGGTGTCCAAAAACCCCAATCCTCATTGATGATGTGGATAGTTTGAGAGGGCATATATCTCTACTTTATTAGTATAGATAGATAGATAGATAATAATTTGTACTATTTATTACATTTTACATAATTTATTGTTTGTACTATCTTAATAATAATAATTGATATTTTATTTACTAGCAATTGAAAATGTCTATTTAAAAGATAATGGATCTAAAATTTATTTGGAGACAAAAAAATTGAAAATAAAACTATAATGGAAAGAAGTAAAGAGAAATAGCTATAAAATAAATAATATGTCAATAAGAAAAGAACATGTAAAATATAAGGATTTACATACATATCCCAATTAGAAAAGAACGTGGCAAATGTCAAACAGACATTAAATACACATAAACGTCATTTTTAAATGTCAATTGTCAAACTACATTAAATACACATAAAAGTTATAAGTGGATATCGATCTCGTAACCTCTGTTCTAAAACTCGGGCGCCTAGCCGCCTAGGCGCCCGATTATTCGTTGATCGGACTCTTGCCGCCACGATTTTACTACAATCGGACAAAGAAATCGCCACATAATAAATCGGCCCATTAAGCCGAATAATCGGCCCAATTACCGATTAGTCGGTCCGATTATCAATTAATCGGTCCAACCATTACAATAGATATTTTGGGCTTTTGAAAGCCCATATATCTTTGCAATTGTATCACAAATAGAACCTGGAGAATGACTCTATATATAGAATAGATATTTCGTATCCCTTTTGCAAACTAACCGATGTGGGACTCTTACCTATCAATCTGAGTAAATAATGCGAAAGTAGACAAAATGCACCACCCGGGTTTCGAAACCGGGCCGCTAACGATAAGTTTCAGTGTATGAACCACTAGGACACATCGGACTTGTTGAACAATCTTGCCAATGGTAATATATATAGAGATATGTGTATAATAAAATAATATAAATTAGGTTCCGATTAATCTCCGATTAATCCCCGATTTGTTTTCTAGGCGCTAGGCCCAATCCGAGCGCCCGACTAGCGCCTAGCGAGTTCTTTAACATTGCTCGTAACCATGCAATAGAATGGGGGAACTTTTACCAACTGATCTAGAAAAGATAAACGTAAGGGCTAATGACTGAACTATTTTTAAAAGTAGTAGGGGGCACGTGCCCCGTAGGTAATACTGTAGATCCGCCCCTGCTTTCCACATCACTGATACCCGAAAGTCTTGCTTAATTATCAAACCCCATCGTCTTCTCCACTCTCAAGCAAACAAAAACAAGAATTCATTTAGATTGGATCGTGCACGGAGACAAAATCCCATAACACAATGTACGGACGAGACCCATGGGGTGGTCCCTTAGAGATCAATGCGGCAGACTCCATCACCGAAGACGATCGCAGCCATAGTAACCTACAAGAACTCGACCATTCGACTCTTCCTCGACCACTAGACGCAACGCAGCAGAGCTGGCTACTCGGACCTCCCATGAGGAAGAAGAAGAAGTACGTTGATCTCGGATGTATACTAGTCAGTCACAAGATATTTCTATGGACTCTTGGAACTCTTCTTGTTACCACCTTTCTTGCTGGATCCATAACTATGATCGTCAGACACGTGCTGCCGCACCACAAACATGAGAAGCCTCAACTTGACAACTACACAATAAAGAAGGTATCATCCAATAAAAACCATCTTTTCGACCTTCCATTTGCTTGAAATCGTCTCACTCAGAATCTGGGAGGAAAACAGATTTTATTTTACCAGATTTTCATAAAAAGATGATATATTTCATGCTTGATGACAATCAACGTTATTGCAGTATATACAGCTTCTTAGGAATTCTGCAAACCTTGAAAAGCTAAGACAAGCAAAGGAAGCTATTAGTGCCGTGTTTCCATTGAGTCCTTCTCTATGGCTAGAATGAGGGAATGAAGCATCTCTAGCCTCCAGGTGAATTAGTATTTGCTCTTCTTTTGTATTGAATTAGTATTTGCTCTTATTACTGTAAATGAATCTGGAAATTTCCTGTTGGAACTTATGGGAAGAGGTAATGATAAGTATATTTTTTCCATCTGCATTGATTGGCAAAACTGTTCATCATAGATATCAATTATGCATACTGCCAATGACTACCTGCTGCTATTTTATGTCTTAGTGAAGCATGCCAGTATGGTGGATTAATATTATTGATGCTCCTGTGTCTCACAGGGACTGGCATATGTTGACTTTTTGGATGATGAGGACCTTGCAGCAAAGAACAAAGTAGTGTTGGTAAGAAGTGTGGGAACCGAAATCCACACTGTCGATTTTCCGTCAAATATGGAAACTTAGGGTGAAACCCTAATTTTCCCGAGGTCCTGGATCTCTGCGGAAATCACTAAAACAAACGAATTTAAAAGAATATGGATGAACAATAAAGAACAAAGAGATAAGAACTTGTATGAAAGCTTTTATTGAATGAAGAATTGACAACTGTTANACTTAGGGTGAAACCCTAATTTTCCCGAGGTCCTGGATCTCTGCGGAAATCACTAAAACAAACGAATTTAAAAGAATATGGATGAACAATAAAGAACAAAGAGATAAGAACTTGTATGAAAGCTTTTATTGAATGAAGAATTGACAACTGTTACAAAAAGAATTGAAGAACTTAGACGTCGAAACGTTCTAAGGATCTACATTGCTATTCAAAACGCTAAGTCCTAAATTCTAAGCTAGCAGCCGTCTTTTTAGGTCTGATTTTCGTCCCCCTTCTCTTCCTTGCGACTCTGGCTTATATACCCCTTTCCCAAGCGACTCAATCTTTCCATTTTGCCTGGATCCAAGTTTTTCGGGAACTTTCCATTTCTGTCGATCCTTCCTTTTCTTTTGCGGAAATCTTCTATTTATCTTCAAACTTGCCTTTTATCTTCTATTTGCGAGTAGACCGTCAAAGCGCTATCGTATCTTCGGGTTTAATTTCGTCAACGTCTCGAGATGGGTTTTTATCATGCTTTAGGACATTTCGGGCCGTTCTACGATAAAAACCGTTTTACGACTTTAACGAGACCGTTTCCTGATCCGACACCGTTTTTTACGATTCTCTCGACGTTTTTTATTTAAAACGAGTTTTTATGATTTTAACGAGAAATCTCGAATAAATCGTATAGTTTAGGCAATGTTCGGTGTTTCGTTTAACCGTTGCAGTTTTATACGATTTCCTCGAGTTCTTTCCGAGAAAGCGAAGTTTTACGGTTTTTATCGTAAAACTTGAATGATAGGTCGGATCGAGACGGAACAGGAGACGTTTCGGCCGTGGTTCAGAATACGACCGTGTCGAAAGACGTAAGTTTTGAATCGGGGATGCGGGAGATCGAGGCGCGGAATATCCGAGAAGTCTTTAGTTCGCCCATCGGCAAACTAAGCCGGGCCGGCTTAGTTCGCCGATGGGCGAACTAGTTGTGGGACTCCTAGTTCGCCCATCGGCAAACTAATCCGGGCCGGCTTAGTTTGCCGATGGGCGAACTAGTTGAGTGAGTTTTAGTTCGCCCATCGGCAAACTAAGCCGGGCCGGCTTAGTTTGCCGATGGGCAAACTAGTGGAATGTCTCCTAGTTCGCCCATGGGCGAACTAGTCGTGACTAGTTCGCGTTTTACGGCTGTTTCGGTTTTTTTGCGGTTTCGTAAAACAATTCTTCGAGTTTTATAAAACGATTCCCGAGTTTTATAAAATGATTCTTCGAGTTTTATAAAACGATCCTCGAGTTTTATAAAACGATTCTCGAGTTTTATAAAACGATTCTTCGAGTTTTATAAAATGATTCTCGAGTTTTATAAAACGATTCTCGAGTTTTATAAAAGGATTCTTCGAGTTTTATAAAACGATTCTGGAGTTTTATAAAACGATTCTTGAGTTTTATAAAACGATTCTTCGAGTTTTATAAAACGATTCTCGAGTTTTATAAAATGATCTCTGAGTTTTATAAAATTACTTTTGCGGAAAGTAATGATCCCCCTTTTACAGAAGTTATCGCAGACGTTGATTTCGAGATTACGGTTTTTGACACCTACAGTTAGCCCCCCAGTCCGCAATTTCTTGAGGAAATTTTGCGGTCGGATGGAGTTAGATTTTAATCAGAATCTACGGCTGAGATTCGTCTTATTACGAGGGAGAACTCTCCTTTTTCTATAAGTATTGGATCATTACTTCTCATATCTTCCACCTTTCAAGTTTCTCTCCAACTTCTCTCTAGAAAAATTCTTAAGATGTCTTCTTCCCAAGGTGATCAGCAAAACTGTGAGGTCCCATCCGGTGACAATCCTCCGGCATATCCGCAGGATGCTCGGATTTCCGAGTTTCTCTCGTTTCAAGACGAGATGGATCGTAGCGATGCTGAGGAAGACGCCGTGTCGAGCGACGTACCCCCAGTGGATTCATCCGTCCTTGCAAGAGAATTTAGGGCTATTTTGGACGAAACGGCGGATGCGGTAGTGGGCTCCTCGGCGGGCATTGCCATTGAACCGTCGGGTGCGCCTGCTGTTTCGCCCCTCCTTGCAGCCGAAAACGTCACTGTTTCTGCTGAGGTCGGACTAGCTGTAGCCCCCACCATGATAGAGCCAGTCGTGTCTCCAGCCGTGATCAAACCGGTCGTGGCTCTTACCGCCGTTGAATCAGTTACGACTCTTGCCGCAGTTGAAACGGTTGCAGCTCCTACTGCGGTTGATCCAGTTACGATTCTGGGACCTCCTGCTCCGGTTAAGAGGGTGATTGTCTTGGGACTTCCGGCGCTTAGCGAGACGTTGCCTGCTTCAGCGAAAGGCCGCAAGAGAACTCGTCCGAACCCTGATGCTCCTGCGAGAAAGAGAGCCGTGAAGGGTTCCGAGACCGGGGCTTCGTCTAGCAAGACACCGAGCATGATGTCGATGTCGCAGCAACGCACCAAGGTACGGGTTCGCAATCATACGTTTTTAAAGATTATATTCGCAGCTGACCGTCTTTCTTGGTTTTTTTTTTTTTTTTTTCTAGTTTGTTTCGTTGATCGATGGGATGATCAAAGAGTGCGGGTCCGAAGTTGAGCGTTTAGCCAAAGAGTTAGTTGAGTCACAGGAGAGGTCGGCTCAGCTCGAAGGGAAACTGAAATCGATAGAAGAAGTGCGTTCCGCGGAAGTATCTCGACTCGAAGCTCGGATTAGCAACCTGGAGCGTGACCTTGGAAAGACCGCGGTTTCCCTGATCAAAGCGAAGGATGAAAAGAAGTCCAAGGCTTCAGAGCGGCGCAAACTTCAGCGCAAGATGAAGAGTTTTGAGGAATCAGCTGTCCGTGTGACGGAAAGGTCTATTCCTGTCGAGGGGAGCGATTCCGATCCGATTCTCGCTGCTGAAGACGTACTTCAGCCTGATGCGGATAAGGGTGACGACCCGGAGGTTGCTGTCGAGGGTGAAGGTAATGCGATGGATGAAGATGAGGCTCCGTATGCGGAGAACGTTTGAAGTTGTAGTCTCTTATGAGACTTTTTAAAAAAAAAATTAGATTTTTATGTATTTGGCCGAGTGCGGCTTTTGTACTTGTTTGGGACTGGCCTTCTATGGCTTTGAATCCCCTGTTCCTTCGGCAACTTTTTATTTTCGTAATGGATAATCGGTTTTATTTGAACCTTCTGATTTGAGTCGATATTGTGGGAGGTCCGCGAGTTGTCGTCTCGCATTCCGTTCCCTTAGTGGATCGCCTTATTCGTTTGCTCGTTTTAGGATTTTTAGTAAATCGAGTGTGCGTTCAGATATAGACGAAGAGACATGCCTTTAGGATCTTGATTCATGCCTTGAGACGTTAGCGACCAGTGTGCTGGGTTTAGGGCAAGACCTAGGTTTACTTCCGGGTTAAGGCTGTGCGATGACTAGTCGGCTTTCGTTTTGCCAGTTGCGATTTTAACCTGATTCCATACCGATTTAGATTCCGCGATAGGTTCTCGGCTTATACGATTCGTCTGGTTGGAACCGATTATCTCACCGGGAACAATTTCTAAGTTGCCCGAAAGTGCTGACCAAAAGTTTGGATTTCTTTTATAGCGCTATTACCCTTGTGTCGGGTGTTCGAGACCTATCTCTGCGAGATAACTTAAATTTGTTTAAGACTGTTGCGAGTTCGTTGTGATCAGCAACGAACTATTTTTAAGCGGTAGATGTTTGTGCAATTTGGGCCTTCGCGAAGGATAAGTATATTAAGAAGTTTTGCGTATTTTATAGTCGCGGACGGACTGTTTATTGTTTTTTGGAGAGGAACGTTTTTTCCGAATATTGGCGACGTCTCGCTATGTTCAGAATTTCGTTTTTTCTTTCGATGCGTTTTCTGAAAAAGTTTGAGAAATTTCGAGTCTTGAAATTTTGGGAGTATACGAGTATACGTATACTCACCTACTCCCCCCCCCCTTTTGAACGAGGGGGACAGCTGGTCTTATCTTGCGACAAGATGCCTACGTACCCTTTCGAGGGGATCAAGCCGTCTTGTAGTTCAGTGTTCTGCGGGCGTGCCGCCTAGTGATAGTATTTTTTAGGTGCATCGCGTTCCAGGATCTGGGAATTTTGATGTCCTGCATGTTTGCGATTTCGTATGCTCCGGGTCGGACTACTTTTATGACCTTGTACGGTCCTTCCTAGTTTGCTCCTAGTTTACCGGCATTTCGTTCTGCGGTGTTCTGGAAGACTTTTCGTAAGACTAGCTCGCCTTCGTGAAATCTGCGGTTACGTACGTTTGCGTTATAGTACTTGGCGGCCGCTTGCTGATAATTTTGAATTCGAACGAGTGCCTGATCCCGCCGTTCGTTAATCAGGTTGAGTTCGTCGAGAAGCATTAGGTTGTTTGCCTCTTCTCTTTCTGGGAGCAGTCTCCTACGTACTCCTGGGAATTTTACTTCTGCGGTAATCATGCATTCCATTCCGTATACGAGGGCGAAAGGAGTTTCGCCCGTTGCTCGCCTCGGGGTTGTGCTGTGCGACCACAAAACTCCTTCGAGTTCTTCGGCCCATTTTCCCTTTTTGGCGTCGAGGCGTTTCTTGAGACCATCGAGGATCGTTTTATTAATAGTTTCGGCTTGTCCGTTGCCTTGAGGATATCTTGGAGTCGATTTTGTCAATCGTATTCTCTATTTTTCGTAAAAAGCTTCGAATCTAGTCGAGATAAACTGGGATCCGTTATCCGTCACGATTTCGTATGGTACTCCATGTCTACAGACTATGTTCCTCCATACGAAACTTTCTACCTGAGCGTCTTTGATGCTTGCGTAGGAGTCGGCTTCGACCCATTTAGAGAAGAAATCGGTCAGGACCAGAAGGAAGCGTTTTTGTTTTGACGC